ATTTTTGCCCAGAGTTGCATACTATATAGGGACCTTCCTAGTCTGACACTGCTTAGGTCTGACCCTGTAGATGTGATATATTCTTTGAGGAAACTCTTTTTCATTTTTCTATGTTCCCATTTTAGGAAGCTTTCGTGCTCCAAGGGCAAACTTTTCTTAATCACAGATTCACTGATTTGGCTTCTGAGAAAAAACCAAAAAAACCAGCTCATATGCGGAGTATCATGCATGCTAAAATATAATGAATACATCAGAAAACTCCCAATATAACTTAGTTGTTCTATATGGCAGGTTCTACTCCTATCTCCAAAAACTAGTGTTATAAAACGGCACCAAATATTAAGTGAACTATTTTAGGAGATTTTGAAGTACAATGTCTAAAACACAGCAGTGTGATTATTTATTTGTTTCTTATTCATTTGTAATATTTTTAATAATTAAACTTAAAGAAAAAAGAAACAAATTTAAATACTAAAACTAAAAAAAATACAAAATAAGTAAAGAAAAAAAGCATTGTCATGCTAACAGCAGAATATGACAGAGTATTCAAAATATGCCGCAATAAATTTCCATTTCAAGAAAGTGTATATAATAAATACGACTCATTGTGTTGAGATCTGTCCATCTTCTCTTTGCTTTCTTGTAAGTTTTCTTTACTTCTCTGCTGTGCACTTTTCACTTTGTTCTTTTTCCCCTTCCTCCCCACTCCCCACCACAGAATGCTACAATTATTTGTGTACACATGCATATATATATATATATATAGAGAGAGAGAGAGAGAGATGTATGTTTCTATGTATATATATATGTGTGTTTATGTGTATGTGTATGTGTACATATGCACAAATGTATTTATAAATATATATACATATGTAAATGTATATATACTTATGTGTATACATAGATGTATATGTGTATGTGTGTATGTGCTGTGTGTCCATGGATAACTATAAGAACTATAAAAGAGGAAGCTGCTTGGAGATCAGATCACCCAGCTGTGATTATGATGGCTATATGTGTCTTATCTTTTTCCAAAGTAGTCTTACAAATGATATAAAGACTCATGAGTAGAAATATATGACATACTATGACTTCTCTAGAAGATAAAGAAGTCCAACACTTTTACCAAATCAGGTAAAATAGAAAAATGCAAATCCAAGACCAATCCATAGAAGTATCCTGTGTCTTATTAAATGGCTGCACTGCTGTGCCAGTAGAATGTTGACATTTTAAAGAAATGGTTGCTGAGTGATGATATTATGAGGATCAATAGTCAGAAAATGTACAGTGATTTCAACTCAATTCAATTAAATGAATATTTATTAGTTGCCTATTAAGTGGCTAGGGATATGAATTGAATAAAACACTAAGAATCTGGATTCAAACTATGATTTACTATTACATGTGTGGATATGAATACATTACTTCATCTCCCTTTCATCTGATTTGTGCTTGTCGGTAAAATGAGGAATACAGAGTAGAATATGTTTGAAACCCATTCTAGCTTCAAGTTCTGTACTGAACTATCATTGCTGTCAAGGGATTGCTATCAGGTTAGAGGGAATCAGATAAATACACATTTCTCTATCTCTTGCTACAGAGCTTTGTTAGTAATTTACAAAAATGCTGATGATTTATGTGGGTTTATTTTATATGCTGCAAGTTCAGTGAAGTATTTCAAGTAGTTTTTTAGTTGATTCTCTAGGATTCTCTAAGTATAACATGATATTAACTACAAAGAATGATAGCTTTGTTTCTTCATTGCCTATTCTAATTCCCTTGATTTCTTTTTCTTCTCTTATAGTTAAAGCTAAAATTTCTAGTAAAATGGAATAGCAGTGGTGATAATGGACGTCTTTCTTTTACCCTGATCTTAGTAGAAAACCTTCTAGCTTATCCCCATTATTTATAATGCTTGCTGATGGTGATAGATAGATGCTACTTCTCATTTTAAGAAAAACTCCACTTATTTCTATGCTCTGTAGTGTTTTAGTAGCAATAGGTGCTGTGTTTTGTCAAAAGCTTTTTCTGCATCTATAGAGATAATCATAGGATTTCTGTTAATTTTTTTACTGATATGGTTAAGTATGCCAATAATTTTCCTAATATGTAACCAGTCTTCCACTCCTGGCATAAATCCCACTTTGTCATAGTGTATTATCTTTGTGATAATTTGCTGTAATCTCTTGGCAAATATTTTATTTAAAAGTATTGCATTTATATTCATTATGGAAATTGGTCTGTAATTTTCTTTCTCCATTTTGGCTCTTTCTGGTTTAGGTATCAGCACCATATTTGTATGATAAAAACAATTTGGTAGGATTCCTTCTTTTCCTATTTTTCCAGATAGTTTATGTAGCATTGGAATTAATTGTGCTTTAAATATTGGGTAGAATTCCCTTGTAAATCCAGCTAGCCTGAGAGATTTTTTTCTTAGGGAGTTCACTGATGGCTTTTTCAATTTCCTTTTCTGAAATTGGGTTATTTAGGCATTTTATTTCCTCTTCTGTTATTTGGGCAATTTGTATTTTTGTAAATATTCATTCATTTCACTTGGGTTGTCAGATTTATTTGCATACAGTTGATCAAAATAGCTCCTAATCATTGTTTTAATGTCCTCTTCACTAGTGGTGAATTCACTCTTTCTATTTTTGATACGGTAATTTAGTTTTTTTTTCTTCTTTTAATCAAATTAATTAAAGGTATATCTATTCTATTGCTTTTTTCATAAAACCAGCTCTTAGTTCTATTTATTGGTTCAATGGTTTCTTAATTTCAATTTTATGAATCTTTCCTTTGGTTTTCAGAATTTCTAATTTGGTATTTAATTGGGGATTTTAAATGTGTTCTTTTTGTAGCTCTTTTAGTCGCATGCCCAATTCATTGATCTCCTCTTTCTCTGTCTTATTGATGGAAGCATTTAGAGATATAAAGTTTCCCTAGAACTGCTTTGGCTGCATTCCCTAAATTTTGGTATGTTGTCTCGGACCTGGGCAAACTTTCTGCTGCATAGGGAACATCCTATCAGGAAACGTATGCCCAATTATCCTATTTCTTTTGGATGCTAGAATATTGAGAAACTGTAGGTGCTTTTGGTTTCATGAGGCTTGCAGGTAACAAAATGGACCAATTTCCCTCCACACCCTGGGATCCTCCTTCACAGAGAGACTCCCAGTCCCTATGCCCGGGCCTGCAGGATCCCCCTTCTCTTCTGGCCTCATGGCCTCTGGATCCTCAGCTGCCAGACTCAGTGGTACTTCCTCAACATTTGCCCCTAGGTTATCTTCTATAAAACTGGAAAAACTTGGTCCCCAAGACCTTCAAAAGGAATATGATCAGACTAAGAGAAGAGAGTCCTTGCGAATGGTAGGGAATTTGAGTCACCCTCCGTGACCTTTGAATTCATCCTCCCCAGTTGGTGAAAGTAAGGAGGGAGGAACGGCAACAACTACAGCTGGGGGCCCCACTGGCAATGGCTCTGGGCCCCTCGGCACCCTGTAGCCCACCAAGAAAGCATGGAAGTATCACCCGTGTTCATCAATCTTGCTCACCTCCTGCCACCCCAGAAGCTACAAGCAACATGAGCTGCCCTGGGGACAGAGGGAAGGGGAAGGGGATGGATCAAGGCACTAAGAGGTAAGAAGCCAGCCAGCCTCTGCACTTGGTAAGCCCACTCGTTTAAAGTTGTGGTTTCAACATGTTCATTATGAGACATCGATTTTCTGTGTAAAGTAAATTGCAAATTCATTCAACAAGATTGAAATCACCTGATTGATAATGGGCTTGTTTCAGGTCTCAAACTGGTAAACTTTTGCATCAGCTTTCTCAAGCCACTTTTCCTAACTTGGATGTTATTAGAGTATGAAATGAGAGCACCTAAAAAAACAGTGGAAAAGTTATTTCCCTCCTAACCCTGTCTTATAACATTTTCTAATGGACATTTAGAAAACTAAGTATTTGGTATTGTTTTTACTGCTAAAATGTAAAATTGGTCATTGACTACTCAGTATGTGTGTGGAAAGGAGGGGATGAGGTGAAAGCCTTATCCAGATTGGTTCTGCCCATTCAGAGCAGTCCTCAGGACTAGTGAAAAAGCACAGCCCAGAGCAGCTCTAAGGGGAGATCGGGGTGATAGGCAGCCCCTGCTCTGGGGTCCCTGTTGATCCCCTTTATTTTGTAAACTTGCCAAGGAGGTTGTTTGGATGATGGAATTCTTAAACAATAAACTTGGCTTGCTGAGAATTTGCAAGTTTCTGTAAGTGACCTCTAACAATTGGCTTTTATACCAATTATATACAAATTAAATTTGAAATGTAAACCCTGGTAAATTTTTCCCAAGCTGTGATTAGTGAAACTTGCTGTTTGAGGTAAAAGCTCTTGGGACTGTAATGATGTTACTTTGAGTAGTCTGAGGGATCATAATAATCCATCGATAATCAATAGTCAATAATCCACCATCTGAGAGAAATGCCCAGAAGCTACCCAGAGACAATGTGATACAAGTGGAGGTCTGCATCTGGAAAAGCTGAGAGGACAATCTTAGCCTCAGTCTAAGGTGGGATCCTCCTAGCTCACTTTCCCCACTGTGGTCCTTTGAAAAGGAATGTTTCCCACCTGGCTATTCCTGATTCTGGCTATGAGGTGGAATTGATACTGCATGGTTGGAAAACTGTGAATTATCTGAATTCAAACAGAGTTAAGGATATTTTATCCTGTCATATTTGGTATAGACATGTCCCGGTTTCATCCTTTTATTGCAAATTTCTCTAATCAGAGCAAATGGACAGTAAAAGATAGGAGCACAATGCAAGTATGTGAGATCTTGCTGTTTGGACTTGAATGTGTAGTCATTCTATATCCCAAACAACTGGGTAAATTAGTACTCGGGCTTGTCATCTGACTGCCTGTGTCGTCATGTGAATCATAACCCTATAGACTAAAACTGGAATACACATTGCTATGAAAGACTAAAATTAATCAGAAATATCTTCAGTTCAGTTTGGGAAAAAGAATTTCAGTGCAATCCATCTTCTTAGAGGGAGGTACTTTGTTTTCTCCCATTCTGACATCACTTTTAATTCTCCTTGTATTTGGGCCTCATATATTGAACCTCCTGGCCAGATTTGTCTCCCCCAGGGTCCAGGTCACCAATTTCCAGATGACTGCTCAGGCTGCATACCAACCTTGGAACTAATCAAAGGCCCCTAAGACCCTGGACTTAGCATCAGCCATGTTCCGAAGTCTGACTCCTGGAAAAGGACCCAGTGAGGCAGGGACAGCTCTATGCCCATGGCCAGCAGGAAGCAGTTTCAGAAGCTAAGACCTTCACCCCTTACCCCAAAAGATTTGGGTCCCATTTGTTTGAAGGGAAAATGATGGCCTTATAGGACCTAGACCCCTACACTGAAACTTATGTTTGGGCATAACATTGGCTCAATTCCCAAGCTCATTACTAAGGGAAAAACCAAAAATAACCACCAATCTGTAGTGATGCACTCTCCAGCTCCTCCTCCCTTTGTCTGTTTTCTATAATTACCACTGGGATTTTTGAAGTTCTTGGCAGGGATCCACTGAAGTGCTGGCCACCACCCCAAACTGAAGATTGCCCCTGTTTGTAAGTATTCATAATGATTGAATAAACTACTACCTATTGTCAATCTGGAAATACTTGGCCTCTTCCTTTGGTATCAAAAGAAAACCCCATGGTCATGAGGGAAATATGGGGCTCCCCAGCCAGGGCATCCTGGACCTGAAGATTGAGGACAAATTCACAAGTACTAATTTTCTACAAAGAAATGCTAAATTTCATTTAGAGGTTAGTGAAAATAAAGATGTAATTTTATTTTCCTTTCAAGTTCAGAGACCCTGTGAAATCAATTCTTGGGGGACCACGGGCCCAAGGTTAAGATCTTTGGTGTAAATGAAAAAAGAAAAATAAAAGAAAAATAAAAATATTCCAGAGAGGGTTTGCCCTTTTTTTTTTTTTTTGCTGGTGGAGCAGAAGGGTGAGGAGATAGGATGGAGAACGAGTTAAAAACTAGTTTTCTCAGTTTGAATTAATCTCCTGTAAAGTGTAATACTACTTTGGATCTGACAGCCTTCTTTCCAGCTGACTTGCCAGCTCAGTATTAGTAGAAAGAGATATTTTCAAATGGCTTCAGAAATACTCAAAGAATTAACATTGAATGATAGTTACTCATTTAGGGCTGTACAGTAATGGTTGTGAATGCTCTTGAAGGTATCCCAGATTCTAGATTTAATCAAGGTTTCAGCTTAATGCGGTAATTAATCAAAGATACCTTATTAATGTACTAAAAGATCCTTCATCAAAAGGGAAAGGACCTGTATGTACAAAAATATTTATAGCAGTTATTTTTGTGGGAGCAAAGATTAGAAATTAAGGGGATGCCCATCAATTGGGGAGTGGCTGAACAAGTCCATGGTGTATGGGGGATAGTTTCAGAAAAACTTGGGAAAACCTATATGAACTGATGCAAAGTAAAGTGAGCAAAACCAGAAGGTCACGGTAGACATTAACGGCAATGTTGTAGTAATGATCAACTGTGAAAGATTTAGCTCCTCTAGTCAATAAAATGTTTCATGACAATTCCAAAGGACTTATCAAAAAGGCTATCTCCCTCCAGAGAGAGAACTGATGTACTCCAAGAACAGATTGAAGCATACTGGTTTTCACTTTCTTTTTCTTTCTTTTATATTTTTATTGTTTGCAACCTGGTAAATGTTTTGTGTGATTTCATATGTATACTTGGCATTCAATTGCTTACCTTCTCAGTAGTGGAGGACAGGTTAAAGGGAGGGAGAGAATTCAAAACGTGAAAATTATTCTAAAGTGATGTTTAAAATCAGGCCTGCACAACGTCCTACCCATGGCTGTTTACAGCCCTTGGAGTATTTGGGGCATGCCAAAGAATTTCCTCCACATACAAAGGATGTTTTCCTCTACTTTTTTCTTGGGCCACTTGAAAACCTTTAGTATGCCACAAGTGACCCAAAGTCTGTTAATTTCTGTTAATTTTGTTACTGACATGGTTAATGATATTGATAGTTTTCTAATATTCAAGCAGTCCTGTATTGCTGATGTAAATCCCACCTGGACATAGTGTATTATCCTTGCCATAAGTTGATATAATCTCTTGGCAAATATCTAATTTTACATTATTGCATTCTATTCATTAGGGAAATTGGTCTATAATTTTCTTTCTCTATTTTGACTCCCTGGTTTAGGTCTCAGTACCATATCTGCATCATAAAAAGAATTTGGCATGACTTTTTCTTTGCCTATTTTTCCAAATAGTTTCTATAGTATTGGAATTAATTGTTATTAAATGTTTGGTAGAATTCACTTGGAAATCCATTTGACTGGGAGACATTTTCTTAGGGAATTCATGGATGGCTTGTTCCATTTCTTTTCCTGAAAATGGGTTATTTGGATATTTTACTTCCACTTATTTGGGCAATTGATATTTTTGTAAATATCCATCCATTTCACTTAGATTGTCAGATTTCTTGGCATACCATGGATCAAAATATCTCCTAATCATTGTTTTAATTTCCCCTTCATTAGTGGTGAATTCATCCTTCTAATTTTTGATACTGGTAATTTGGTTTTCTTCTTTTTTAAAATCAAATTAACCAAAGGTTTATCTATTTTATTGCTTTTTTTTTCATAAAACCAGCACTTAGTTTTATTTATTAGTTCAATTGTTTTCTCAATTTCAATTTAATTAATCTCTCCTTTAGTTTTCAGAATTTCTAATTTGGTATTTCCAATTTGTTGTTTTTATAGCTCTTTTAGTTGCATGTCCAATTGTTTGATCCCTTCCTTCTTTATTTTCTTCATATAAGAATTGAGAGATATAAAACTTCCCCCCAAGGACTGCTTTTACTGCATCTCCTAATTTTGATGTGTTGTGCCATTATTGTCATTGTCTTAGATGAAGAGTCTTCTTGTCTTTCCCCAGCATGGTCAGTATGGAGTGTGTCGCCTGCCCTTTTAAAGTGCTACCTATGGTGTGGAGAGGAAATTGCTTCAATGGGCGCTTCATAAATGCTGCTTGACTTAACTTCACAGTTGAACTAACTACCTGTGCTGCTAGGATCCAAGAAGGTGGGCTTTATTTCTAAAAAGATCATCAAAACACAATGTTTAGATTGTAACTGTTGCAGTAAGTTGTGCTTATATACACATGTACATAAATATATATAATTATATCAATATATATGGAAATAAAATCTTATGTAACAAATATATTTATATATGTAACAAATATATTTACATATATACATAAATATATATAATTATATAAATATATATATGTAAATAAAATCTTATGTAAGAAATATATTTATATATGTAACAAATATATTTACATATATACATATATACTGTACATCTATATAAACAAATATAAATACTATGATATATGAATCTTATATATATTAGATTATTACTTTAACCTATACACGAGTTATAGGCATTGATTGTCGTTCATATTTCATTCTCAGAGAGAACCAGTGACAACAGGAGTGTGATATCTTGACTTGTGAGTGAATTAGATTCAAGTGAGACAGAACTGTGCAAAGTCTTCAGCTCCACTCTCTGCTCCAGAGTTGTCAGAGTCCAGGGCAAGAGACAGGTCAGCACCGCTGGAGGTGGCCCCAGCTGCAGTGGGAAACCCTCGGAATTTCCAGCCGGAATCGAAGGTGCCCAGTAAGTGAGGGTAGGCTTTGACAGTTAAAACAAGTGATATCTGAAAGCAATAACATCAGTCATTGACATCTTTGTTCTAATTAAGCAGTTCCTGAGCCCAAAATCTTGCCAGTTATGCAAAATTTGCTGAATGAGAAGGGACAAATGTATAATACAATGTAGGGATAATGTAATCTAAACTGGGATTTTGTCTAGGAGGGAAGACTTGGATGTGAAGTTTAATGACAGTCCCTTAGGTGGTAGAGAGCCACTGGGCATCTCCTTCAAGAGGAAGGAAGGTGACAAAGAAATGTAGGTGGAGGGAAAGGGCCAAAAGAAGATGGTTCCTGAAGACAAACTTTACCTCCTTCACAACTAAGTATGGGCCCCTCCCTATTTAAAATACATCCGTGTATCAGTACTCATGCTTCTTACAGTATAGGATTGTTCCAACTGGAGAGGACTTTGTTCTGGCCTCCTTGGGATAGTTCCAAGAAAGAGTCTTTGCTCTGAGGGTTCCTCAACGTGACTATCCCTGATTCAGGTAAAATGGTAAAGCATTTAAATTTGTGCTCCTTCAACGGTACAGACCTTGAAGAGAACAAAAGAGTGCATTAAACAGGCCAGGTATCCCTAGGAAATTTGGTGCTGTAATGAAGCAATGTTTGTTTTTGGTGTCCTCTACTTTCCTTTTCAGCGTTCTCCACAGGGGTAGCCAGCACCCCACTACCTCATTGTCAGACCCCACTTTGTCCTACCCTCTCCAAATCATCTCTCCTCCAACCTTCGATCAAAGCCTTGCTCAGGCCCAAAGGTTCTAACACATCCCTACTATATGCCAGAGCAATGCTAGACCAATTTATTCTATTATCCTAATGACTACTAATGTAATACTGTTCTCAGCATAAGGAATTTGCAAGATGAATCCAGTAGAGATGATTCTTGCACTACATAGTGAGTGAAGGGTCAGAGTGGGGTAATAGATTGAGACATTTTAGGTCTTTTGGTGCCTGTCCCTCAAACACTGATGACTTAATAATAATAATATCTTCAGACAGTTTAATCTTTTGCTGTTCTCAGTATCCCTTCAGAGGTGTTATCATCTTGTCTAATTTGATCCTCCTCATACTGCTGTGAGGTACAAAGAGAAGCAATTATTACTTCCTAGTTTTTGGCTAAGGAAACTGAGGCTCAAAATTTGTAACATTTTCCCAAGATTATACATCACATAGGGACCTTCCTATTCTGACTCTTCTGAGGTCTGACCCTGTATATGGTGATGGATTCTTTGAGGATACTCTTTAATTTTTCTTTTTTATGAACTTTTTGTGCTCCGAAGGCAAACTTTTCTTAATGAGAGTTTCACTGATTTTGCTTCTGAGAAAAAAGCCCGGATGTGAAGTATTATGGCCACTAAAATATATTGAAGGTATCTGAAAAGTCCCAATATAACTCAGCTGTCTTTTATGGCAGGTTTAGTCCTATCCCCAGAAAGTAGTGCTATAAACTGAGTACTAAATAATAAGTGAAGAGCTTTTGGAGCCTTTG